GAGCGCGAATTGCATGTATTTTGTGATGCCAGTGAGCATGCTTATGTTGCGGTAGCTTATTGGCGCCTACTTTTTGCTGATAATCAAATTCAACTTTCATTCATATGTAGCAAATCAAAAGTTTCACCTTTAGCCCCTACAACGATTTCTCGCTTAGAATTACAAGCTGCTATGGTTGCTGCTCGCTTAGCTTCATCAATATGTGAAGCTCACAAGTACAAGCCAGTGCGCAGGTTTTTTTGGACGGACTCAAAGAATGTTCTTGCTTGGCTACGAAGTGACGCGCGGTCATATCTTCCTTTTGTTGCGCACCGCCTGGCAGATATTTTGGAGCTTTCCACCATTGATGAGTGGCGTTGGGTTCCAACTGTGTTGAATGTCGCTGACGATGCCACCCGTCCTAACTCAAATACTCCCCTTCCTAACAGTAGATGGATTGAAGGTCCAGAGTTCTTGAAAGCCCCGTCTAGTGACTGGCCTGTTGAAATTTCTACCAGTGGGCACTTTAACACTGACGAGCTAAAACCAAGCGCTAGAATTAACCTCATTAACGTAGGTCATATTTCAACCACATCCATTATTCCATCTGTCATACCTTTGTGTGCGGATCCGTTCCGCTTCAGCCAATGGCTGCGTTTGCTCCGCTCTACAGCGCGCGCGCATTTGTACATCAGGAGCTTGAAAGGTAGAGCTAGTGTGTGCGCCTCAACCTCCCACGCTCCTGGCTCTGTTAGCTCTACTAAACTTATGCCGCTGTCTGCCGATGATATGTACATCGCCCGGTCTCACATCTTTCTCCAGGCCCAAGTGGACTCCTTTCAAGAAGAAATGGCTGCTATACGCCAAGGTTTGCCAATTCCTCGGNCAGGCTGACGGAGACGACAAAAAATTCGACGTCCTTCGTCCTTTAAACGAAAAAATCGCAATTAAACGTTTTGCAGATGGACTGTCCGATTCACGTTTAAGTACCATCATCGCCTCACGACAGTTCCATTCTCTTCCAGAGGCAATCCAAACCGCCCTCGACGAAAGTAGTTTATCTGTCGGTCAAGAGCAAGTCATGAACTTCAATAAATCGTATCGTGGGAATAGAAATGCCAGATTCGGTGGTAGACGCGGTAATACCACGAATAGGTATAATTCGGGCAATAATAATAACCAGAATACGCAAAACGGTTATTATAACCAGAATAATAGGACTTTTTATAGAGGTCGTTCGACACGGGGAAATGGTCGCGGAAGGTACCAACGAGGTACCCCGCGTGGGCAGTATGCCTCACCCCGGTCAAACGTGAACGAAGCCCGCGTTGCCCAGGTGCAGCCTGAACAAAATGAGAGCGAACAACGCACTCAATCTGCACCGAATAGTGAGTTTTTTCGCCCCTTCAATTAGCGAACATTTCATTTTAAACTATAACATAGATAGTACGGTTCAATTAGAGTTAGGTACGCATGAAAATATAAGCTTATTAGTAGATAGCGGTGCAAGTATTTGTGTCATGAAATATGAGTGGCTACTACGTCACCCACAGTATATGAATGCATTGAATTACGATAAATTAACTATCAAAGGTGTTAGCGGTAGGTTAATTTCTGAAGGTTACATATACTTAGATTTATCATGCAAGGGCGTTAGTTTAAAAGAAAAGTTTTATGTTTTTAAGAATTTATCTTGTCTTGCAGACGGTATTTTAGGTGAAAATTTTTTTAGGCGTTATAATGCCATTATCGATTATGGAACAAATACACTAAGGTTATCCAATCAAGGATCTTTAGTTTGTATAAGCATAGGTAGAAATCGCGACAGGTATGTACATACGATACCCGCGCGTTGTGAAGTGATAAAACACATTCCTTGCATTTTAACTGAGGACAGTGTAGTTTTAGCGGAAGAAATAAAGAAAGGAGTTTTTATAGCCGGAATGATTTCAAAGCCCTCAAATAATAGTATCCCATTACGAATTTTAAATACAACTAATGAGGATATTGAGGTTGATTTTTCGAATATTAATATACAATCTATTAATAGNTGGTTTGCTAAGGCAAACATCTACAGTGGTGCGCCGACGCTGCTTAGACCCGAAATATGAATGAACGGGGGCGGGGCATAATCGAGCGTGTGTGTGCAAACAATTTAGGCCCTTAAGGTGTCAAGGCGTTCGAGTCCCCGATAGTACATACGTAGGTACACAAAAATGTGGTTATGCAAAATCATAGACATTTCATTGGCAAACACCATAAGATACAACATCAGAGATTAAACTGTGTTTGAACCAAATAAATTATTTTTATTTCTTTCTTTCTAATACCGTTTAAAATATCTCTACATAAGATATTATAACACTCCTTACATTTTGATGATGAGTCAACTTTAAGGACTTCAATACCTAACATCATTTATTTTGAATTGATAATCGCTATCGGCGGCATGTCAAATGGTTTACATGGAAATATTGGTAATAGGTCAATAAATAACAATTTGATAAGAAAACAAATAAGTATTCGGGAACTGTGAAGCTACGAATAATAATTTTATATCGACCACTCTAAGAAAAACAGAAGGTTTGTAGGCGTACTATGTACTCGTATACCTATTACATATCAAGAGTGTTTGTAAGAAATAAACATAATTTCGGATTCTTTGTTTTAAAGTTCTAATTAAAATTCAATATACTCGTACTTATACACTAGTATTATATTATCTGTGCTTATACCAATCATGATTCCATGATAGAGTCGTGTGTAATAACTCAGATCGATTTTCTGAACTCTATCATAATATTTATTGTTTCAATTTAATGGTAGAGTTATTTACAGTGCTTCAGTTTAATCAGTTAAACTTTAGGATAGAAATTGGGTAAACTTAAAATATAGGATAATATTAGGATTTCCATTATAAAATCTCTTTATTTTTCTCAATCAGAATGGTCTCAGTTAGTTTTCAAAGTTTTTTATCTGTCCACTATTCCGAGTAAATTACGAGCATAATAAAAAAACTAATTAAAATATTATTAAATCGCGTGAATTGACTAGGATCATTCACCATAATTAATTTATAAACTTACTTAACATAAAATACATATTAATTATTATTTGAATAGATTAAAACTTAAATTATAAGGAACATGTCAACAAAAGGTAATCTAATCTTACAATATCAAGTGATTCTAAACGAGATTTTTAATCATTGTAAAAGTTTATAAATTACTGTTTTTTTCTTAGTCTTCAAAAATACTTCCAAACGACTCTACAAAAACCCCAAACACGTTTTAATTGATGAGGCACACAACTTTCGATATTTTTGTTAGAAATAAATGACATACAATAAAAACTCTTAAGTCATGTGTAATTAATTATGTAGGTAGGTCTTCATACACATGTCGAAATATCCTATCATCATCAATAAGTACCTAATTGATGAAGTTTACAAAACAATGTAAGATTTTTCATCAATGGTTTTCATCTACCATTCATACTTAAAACTACTTAGCTAAATAGTGTAAAAGTGCCGTGAAAAAGGCATTAGGTACTAACAAAGAATTTGAATTTCAAAACTAAAGGAAAACGTAAACGTAAACGAACGTACAAAGTTTAATAATTTTCATCAATTAAATTCACAAAAGTTAATAAAGATTTGCAATAAAAACAGTTAACGTTCGTGGTAACTTTATTGCCGTGCTAGTTTCTTATCAAACGTTAATCACAGTTATACTTAGGTATACCTACAACAATCACACTCGAAATCCTGTGAAATTTCAACCAAAGGCACTCCATCTTCTTGCCAATAAAACTTGTCTGAAGGATCTTCAACCTTATTAGGTACATAATTGTAGCAAACGACTACGTTTCGTTTATCTCCGATGACCTCTTAAACAGAGGTCATTATGCAAAGACGGTCATTGCTCAATCAATTACTTATTCGTGCTAATTGAAACGTTGGCTGCCATCCCAATAAAGAGCTACTAAACCATGCTCACAAGTCCAAAAGTTCACCAAAACACACCACTTCAACACTCGTCAGATTCTGGTAAAGCTGGCAGGATGAGGCATTGCCCGCGATGCTTCCTCTTTCTCAAAACCTTAGTGCACTTTTTCAACTCGCTGTTGCTGCATTCTTTATCTTCAGGCAGTGGAGGCAATCCCCTTTTAGGTCGTCGAGGGATCACACACTCTGTAGAGAAGGTATTTAACTCCTTACACCGCAGCATGTCCACGTTGTAACCCAAAATATGGCTTGGGAATGAAATTTTCACCATCATGGCAACCCGATACACAGTCGACTCGCGCCGCGACAACGCACGAACTGTCTGCACTGATAAATATTTTTAGTCTGCTCCGCCTTGCATTCAAAACAAAACGATCTAATTAAGATGCTTTGTAAACAGAGTTGGTGCCAAAAACATATTAAACTATACATTTTGAACGTTATGCGTGTAATTCTGGTTACTGTGGGTTTTAGTGAATAAATTACGATGTTTTATCAGATGCGTAGTAGTAACACACCTCTTTTTTTGCTATTCAACAAATGAAAGAGAAAGAAAAGAAAAAATACATTAGTTAATTTTCCATCTATACCTACTGACTTCAAGAATATTTAAAGTTTTTATTGTTTGCGGAAATCTATTTCAGTTGCTTTCAGTTGATGAAACGTGTGAGTGAATCACGTTTTCAAAATGACTATTTTAAATTAGTACCTACAACATTATAGAGTCCATACAATGATTTGTTTTGTTATTATTTCTTGCATAATTGGTGCAATTACCATTTCGAATATTATAATTACCTGTCGTCAAGAGAAGTAGGATGAATGAGCCATGTAGTTCATCATCATCATTTCAGCCAATGGACGTCGACTGCTGAACATAGAGGCCTCTCCAAAATATATTACTTTACTATACTCGACACAAATTAAGCCATTATTAAGCCACAAGTTGGAACGGAAGGCGTTCTTATCGCTAGAAAGCGATACACCCCAGAAATCCTTCTTTATTAATTTAGTATATTTTGGGAAAGCCATGGTCATTTAGGCAAATATTTACTAATCGAGACTCTATTAAGAGATGTATTATGATAATTTAACTTTAGATCCTGTTGAAAATGATGATGATAAAACTTATTGAGTTTTCGTTAGAAAACCACATTAATGAATGAATCTATTGGAAAACAATTACGTGCATTAGCTTTATATAAAAGTTTGTAATGAAAGCCCATTAGGAATAAGGATTTAACAAAAGTGAAATTAAACGCGTTTTAAATTCATATTTACGCGTTTACGTCCCTCAATGTGCGAGAAGATATGCCGCGAAGAAGAACGGCTACCTTAAGTCTTCTTAACAGCAGTCGTAATGGTCGCCATGGTCGAAATCGGTAAAATGAATCATTATCACAGACTAATAAGTACTACACTCAATGTTTTTATTTCGCCTCCTCCTAACTGGTGCATCCTAAGATTATCAGTAGCCCATCTTCGTGGCAATCCCCCTCGCACATTGAGGTTGAGGGACTTATGTAATCACGATTAAAGAGCGGTTACTTAATCATAGTTGAAAAACTTTCCATGGTACAGACACTCTTGGCTGCAGGTGTCTATAGTGTACAGACAGACAATTTATTTCGAGCGCAATTTGGCGCAACGTGACCATAATGCGTGCTGGTGCCGGTGGCTGACTCACCAGTCACTCACAATGTCACAGAATAGCCGCTGATGGATTCCATTCACGCCGCTCACGTGGCGTAGTGATGCGCGCATCTTTCACGGGTGAAGTATGTAAATTGCTTACTTTACAAATAGCATCCAATTCCCGTAAACCGGTCACGCGCACGTATCGTTCTGCTGACTTAGGGTTTTAGCAAACTACGAACATTGTAATCATGTGAATTTTAAAACATTCAATATAGAGACACCGTACATCAAACATGTGTTTCACTTAATTTCTACTGCCGTCTTCAACACCCTAAACCTAACACTACATGGCGACCCCGCCACACCTGGCCAACTTTATATTTGCTGGAGAAGAAAAGAAAAACAGAAACTAAATTTTAAATGAAGAATTAAGCCGAATAATTATCAAGAATCAACATCAACAACAACATGGGAAAATCATACTCAAAAGAAGAAGTCGTCGTCGCACAAAACGCCAACGGAGCAGCTTCGGCCGACACGAAATTGAATCAAGGACAAAGCGACCACGTCACTCAAACCCTCCTCATCGTGGCTCTCGTCCTAATTATCGCCGCAATCGCCGTCTACATCTTCAAAAAGTGCCGCAAGAGCGCCGTGAAGACTTTGAGGAAAGAATTAAACGCCATCTCCATTGAAAACCTCGCGTCACGCAACTAAGTACCTAAGAAGAAAGAAGAGTGGAGTCCAGGGAAAGCCCGGCCCACATTCAAGAGGTGTCCAGGGAATGCCCGGCCCACTTCAAGAGGAGTCCAGGGATATCCCGGCCCACATCAAGCAGATGACCAGTTCCTGCTGCCGCCGCGCGCCGTGCCCAGCCCCGGCCTCGCCGCGCCGAACATGAGCGACGCCCACACTACGTCCTGCACTGCATCCTTTTAACTACGCCCTTAGGGGAACTGAGTTTACATCTTCCGTTATGTCTGAAGTTTGCAAATTACTAAATATAGAAAAAATCCATTCAACCCCGTATCATCATGAGACTATAGGTGGTTTAGAAAACACACACAAGCATCTCGGTGCGTATCTCAGAATTCAATGCGAAAATAATAAGTCTGATTGGAGTGATTGGATTCCATTTTGGTGTTTTTCTTTTAACACTAGTGTACATTCACAAACAAAATATACTCCATATGAACTTGTTTTTGGCAAAGTTTGTAATTTACCAAGTAACTTATCAGAGCATGTAGATCCATTATACAATTTTGATGACTATCCCAAGGAACTTAAATATCGTTTACAAAAAGCTCAACAAGATGCTAGGCAAAATTTGTTACATTGTAAAGATATTAGAAAAATTAAATATGATCAAAACAGTTGTAATTTTAAATATAAACCAGGAGACTTATTATTAGTAAAAAATCAAGTAGGCAATAAATTAGATTGTGTTTATAAAGGTCCTTATAAAGTAATACAAGACATTTCGCCAAATGTAAAAATACTTAAAGATAATAAGGAAATTGTTATTCATAAGAATAATACTAAGTTGTTTAATAACTAAAAAAAAAAGTTTGTTTTATTATTATGATGTGTTATGTGTTATGTATTGTGATTATAACATTGTCATGTATAATTTTAATAAATAGTTATTGTACTTACTTATCAATAGACTACTTATGTATGTAAAGCTCAATGATACGTGGCCAAACTTTTTTTTTCTTGCAAAGGGGAGGCACCTACCCTTTACTTTTCGGGGGAGGTGAAGTATGTAAATTGCTTACTTTACAAATAGCATCCAATTCCCGTAAACCGGTCACGCGCACGTATCGTTCTGCTGACTTAGGGTTTTAGCAAACTACGAACATTGTAATCATGTGAATTTTAAAACATTCAATATAGAGACACCGTACATCAAACATGTGTTTCACTTAATTTCTACTGCCGTCTTCAACACCCTAAACCTAACACTACACGGGTCTTTTTAAAAGTTTTGTACATTTTAAAAGGCCAAAATCAATTACTTAATCAATTTAATTATTCATTTAAGATTTAATGCCATATAATTGGTACATAAGGCGAACTTAATGCCATTGGGCATTCTCGTCCAGTTAACCAAAGCAAAAAATAATGACGCTGTGTAGGTTTGTTGTCAACACGACAAGAAGAAGATATTAATAGTACAATTAATACTTTCAGAATAAAAACTCACAAGATGGTAGTACTCTAAATTCACGAAACTCAGCTTTTCATAACTTTCCTGTAAAATAAAGGCCTTTCTTCATTAAGTTCTAATATAAGTAGTAGCTGATGCTCTAATAAAATTCACAAATGAAAAAATCTATTCACAAGTAAATATACTCAACATCAAATAATCCGCACCTTCCGCGACGCGAACTTTAACGATTTTCTTCTGACACAATCATAGTGCCCCAATAATATTGGTGTTATTTGAAAGCCCAATAAATATCCTTAAAGAAAAACACATTTAATTTCTTAATAAATGATTAACATATACCATAAATGTGACTTGAAAAAATACCTCACTTTGGGCCCACCTATGGGATCAATTAGACCAATTTTTATGGTTATAAAACCAAATAATGATTTCACGTGTCCTCTTTAACAGATGGATAGCGATTAATCCCAACTTAACAGTTTTAAAGCCATAAAAGTTGACTCAAGCGTAACTACCTATTTTTTGAAGAAGTGACTCTAGATCCTTCTAAAGAGACATTTCTGGGGTAAAAACCTTTCCTTTAATGAATTGAAGGTTAGAACTAGGCTTTTAAATGGTGCCAATATTGGTGGGAAGTGGGGATGCATACGTTTAAAAATGCTTGTCGCGGGAGGTGCGATTTATTTGATGTCGAGTGTATTTAGATAATGCATCTGATTATGTGATCTTTTCAAGATTATTATACCTAGTTTCAATGCTTGTATTTTCTCCTTCAGGCCTGTTGTTACGAACGGCCTCCTTTTAAGTCTATGTTTTTATAATTTTATTTTTTTATATGGTTTGTCTTGTCTGTCTCTTCTATATCCCTGTATCCTGTATCTTCCTTTATTCCTCTTTTTATTATATCGCTTTCCCTTCCTTGAGCCTGAGTATCATTTTTATCCCTTTTCTATCCCGATTCTTAACCTAACTTGCTAGAGCGCGAATTGCATGTATTTTGTGATGCCAGTGAGCATGCTTATGTTGCGGTAGCTTATTGGCGCCTACTTTTTGCTGATAATCAAATTCAACTTTCATTCATATGTAGCAAATCAAAAGTTTCACCGTTAGCCCCTACAACGATTTCTCGCTTAGAATTACAAGCTGCTATGGTTGCTGCTCGCTTAGCTTCATCAATATGTGAAGCTCACAAATACAAGCCAGTGCGCAGGTTTTTTTGGACGGACTCAAAGAATGTTCTTGCTTGGCTACGAAGTGACGCGCGGTCATATCTTCCTTTTGTTGCGCACCGCCTGGCAGATATTTTGGAGCTATCCACCATTGATGAGTGGCGTTGGGTTCCAACTGTGTTGAATGTCGCTGACGATGCCACCCGTCCTAACTCAAATACTCCCCTTCCTAACAGTAGATGGATTGAAGGTCCAGAGTTCTTGAAAGCCCCGTCTAGTGACTGGCCTGTTGAAATTTCTACCAGTGGGCACTTTAACACTGACGAGCTAAAACCAAGCGCTAGAATTAACCTCATTAACGTAGGTCATATTTCAACCACATCCATTATTCCATCTGTCATACCTTTGTGTGCGGATCCGTTCCGCTTCAGCCAATGGCTGCGTTTGCTCCGCTCTACAGCGCGCGCGCATTTGTACATCAGGAGCTTGAAAGGTAGAGCTAGTGTGTGCGCCTCAACCTCCCACGCTCCTGGCTCTGTTAGCTCTACTAAACTTATGCCGCTGTCTGCCGATGATATGTACATCGCCCGGTCTCACATCTTTCTCCAGGCCCAAGTGGACTCCTTTCAAGAAGAAATGGCTGCTATACGCCAAGGTTTGCCAATTCCTCGGCAAAGCAAGCTGAAAAAGCTTCATGTGGTCCTTGGGGAGGACGGCCTACTGAGACTCTCAGGGCGTGTGGGAGCAATTACCGGCGTGCCAGATGCAATGAATTTTCCTATTATCTTGGATGGAACTCATCAAGCCGTGCGACTACTAATTGAGCACGAGCACCGTCGACTAGCCCATGGCAATAATGAAACCGTCGTGAACGAGCTACGCCAGGAGTTTTTCATCTTAAACCTTAGAAGCACCGTCAGATCTGTGGGGCACAGGTGTCAATTTTGCCGTATCAGGAAAGCAACCGCTGTGATTCCTCCTATGGGAAATCTACCTGCTTCCCGTCTAACCCACCATTGTCGTCCTTTCACGTGTGTTGGACTAGATTACTTCGGCCCCGTCCAGGTGACGATTGGCAGGCGGCACGAAAAACGGTATGTCGCCTTGTTTACGTGCCTGACGACCCGGGCAGTTCATTTGGAAGTTGTGCACGATCTGTCAACTGACGCCGCGATAATGGCTTTACGTCGGTTTGTAGCCCGTCGAGGCACGCCTAAGGAGATCTGGTCGGATAATGGAACTAGCTTTGTTGGAGCGACGAAATTCCTTCGCGAGCTCTACGGTCCAAAATTGAACGACTTCACTGTGAACAACGGAATAGAATGGCGTTTCATACCGCCTTCGGCGCCCTCAATGGGCGGAGCTTGGGAGCGCTTAGTGCGTTCCGTTAAAACGGCCCTTAAAGTGATCCTCAAGGACAGAGCCCCTAAAGAACCGATATTCACCACCCTTCTCGTTGAGGCGGAGGCAATCGTGAATTCAAGGCCACTAACGCACGTTTCGGTTGGACAAGAAGGTAACGAAGCTCTCACACCATTTCATTTTCTGATCGGGACTTCCTCAACGGGAAACCATCATGTTGGCGCCGTCCCTCAAGACTTGTATGGTAGAACCGCTTGGAGGAAGACTGTGAGACTGGCGGATCTCTTTTGGCAGAGGTGGCTGAAAGAATACCTTCCAACCCTCGTTCCTCGGCGCAGCGGCAGCGAGGTTGAAGGAACCCCTCTCAGTGTGGGTGACCTCGTCCTTATTGTTGACGGGAATTTGCCGCGGGGAACTTGGCCCAGAGGTCGAGTAAAGAAACTGTTTCCGGGTGGAGATAACGTTGTTAGAGTGGCCGAGGTCTCCACAGCGGGAGGGGTGTTACGAAGACCGTTAAGAAAACTTGTTCGGTTGCCTGTCTGAAGGCCGTTGTATATACATATGTACATCCCATTTTAAGGCCGGTCGTATCAATCTCTCCCGCTCTCACTCCTTTCCTTTGATACTCGTATTCTATCATTGTTGAGAGAGAGGGAGAGATGTTACGAACGGCCTCCTTTTAAGTCTATGTTTTTATAATTTTATTTTTTTCTATGGTTTGTCTTGTCATCTGTCTCTTCTTCGATCCCTGTATCCTGTATCTTCCTTTATTCCTCTTTTTATTATATCGCTTCCCTTCCTTGAGCCTGAGTATAATTTTTATCCCTTTTCTATCCCGATTCTCAACACCTGTAAACCTATTGCTTTGTAACTTGAACGTTTTGAAGAAGAATTTCTGGTAAAATATTAGGGTAGACTCTACTTGGACTGTCGTAGCACTACGTGGACATACATTACCCACGTACTTATGTGTAATTGATTGTAATAAAAGTAATAAGCTCGTTTGTATGAAACCATATCTCTTTCTCTTAATATGGTCATCAATATTTCAATCGCAGTAATTTAGAAGTCAATAAACTTTCAATAAAGCATCATAACTCGCGTTTGGAATATTGTTACATCAGTATGAAAAGTGTTAAAAGATCAATGTTCTCAATTTCATCATCATCATCATTTCAGCCACAGGACGTCTACTCTTTTTCAATTTGTATTAGTTAAATTGATGAGTTTTATTAGGACTAAGTATTTGCCTACTTATTGAAAGTTCTGTGAACGATATTGTTGGTATTATTACTTCACAAAATTGCCAAAATCTAAAGACATAAGTACGTATCATATCATTTTATTGCTTTGCACTAAGTAGTGGGACATGACTAGTGGTAGTAAATTGTGTCTAGGCCTACATAATATGGAAAATTTTATGTTCGCAGGTGGCCAGAGAGATGTGATGTGATTTTTAACTGATGAATATTTTTTAATTGATTTAAAAATCTAACTCTGCACGTTGACTAGCACTGGAGGTATTGTCGTAAAATTTAGTACTTCACTCAGACAAACATTTAAAATGGATGTAGCACCTAACTATTGTAAATAAAAATAATAAAATCATGTTTAAAAGTAGGTACACTACCTACTTACACATAACGTAGTATTTTACAATAACTTTACCTTTAATCCTGAAAATACTAAGCCTAGGTCCCACTTTTAATTTACGTAGGTAATACCAAAAGCAGGGACCTATCAAGTAGCCACAACCTAGTTTTAAGCATTTAATCTACAGGTACCAACTCTTGGCAGTTTATGCATTGAATGTACGAGAGGAATTGTAACATGCCAACATCATGGCGTGCGTAAGCCTAAACCTTGATCTTCTTACCAGCACTCATTATGCTCCTACTAGAAATGCGCAGGCAATGTTGCATCATTCATTAAGCCTATCCATTGCTATAAAATTTAGTTCACGGCCTTTTATTTAAGTACAGGAAAGTTTCAGCTTTTATATTAATTAAGTAGATAAAGCAAGTAAATTGTATATTGTGTAAGTACCTAGTTGATTTGTGAATTGGGATTAAGTAATGTATGATAATATTATTATATTGGTTAGTGGGGACTGCCAGACTGAGGGTACTACCACGAATTATAAAGTGTATCATGTTGTTTATCACTTTTCATTACCAGTCTAATGACCATTTTTATACTTACCGAAAGTGACAAACTATCGGATATTCATTAATTCTCAACTGGAATGTCCATTTCATTGTAACCTGGGTATAAACGCAGTTCCTATGCGCGATACTCTTCCATCATAAATCGATTGTGTGGAAAGCAGCCAGCTGTAATCAGGCGCGTCGATCACATGAAAATGTTAATCGGTCACGCTGCAATCAAAATATAACGACATTTGTCGGTTAGTGGCGCGTGCGCCAGTCGCATTCGAGCCAATTTGGCTAGTGATAAGTTACCCCCTGCCAACTTCCGGACTTGGCTTAGTTGTGTGAATAAACGAAAGGCCATTAGGTCAAGCAGGATTATTTTACTAATTAAACCTATTAAAACTATCAGATTATAGTCAAACGATAGTCCGTATACTTAATATACTTAAAATGATAAAAAATTGTCGAAAGAATCATTAAACGGTATTAAAGTACTTTTAACAGTAACGCTATTCGTTATATTATTTTGCTAAAATACCAAGGTCCAATGCCAAAAACCACGATGTCAAACTGCTGTTGGACATAAAAAAACAAAATGTCGGAAAAAATGGCGTCCCTTGCCAAGTGACGCTTGGAAATTGAAATTCTTTCTTTTTCAGTAAATTGGTGATAAATACGTATTAAACTCATTAAATACATCGGAGTCCAGGTAATTTATACATTGTACTATCTTTAGATGTGTTTCTATTGCACATTTTTATATAAATACTGTCCCTCACAAACTGTTAGTTTGCATCGTTTGCATTATTTTGCATTCGAAGAATTTCCTAAGATTTTATGAGAATCATTGCAATCATCTAAGCATTTAACGAGAATGCTGTATATAAATTCCTTAATCCATAGAAGTTACATCGCTGTGTGTACACACTTGTACTAAGTAGGTGTAAAAATGAAACTTGGCAGTAAGTTTATCAGAAACTCGGTGAACATAGCTTGTTTCTACAGTAGATACAAACTGAATAGTATAGTTTTAAGATCCTTCCCGATTGTCATGCTCCATCCATTTCCAATAATTATTACACAGCCATGATGTTACATTCAGGTATAACCTTAGCATCCTTACTTTCATAGTGTAAAGTTAAACGTTATTATTAAACATTTCAGGTTGGACGTGTTATGGCAACACCGAATAGTTACAAACAAAACGCATCAATGTCGATGCCAAGTCCCCAGAGCAATCCGCGTTTGTATTCTTTCTATAACATTATAGTTTACTTATTTAGTTATGTTTCTAATTTGAGTCAGTTAAGTAAGCATATATTATGTAGAATGACTAGTGTGTACACGTCAGTTATTAATGTCTTGTACACCCAAACACTAATTGCCATGAGAAAAAACAACTTTCACATAGTTGTCTGGAATATCAGAAACAAGAATTTTAAAATGTGTACAAGTGATTTTTATAAGCCTACTTTTAAAAATAAAATGAGTTTTTTGAGTGTTTCTATGAATTGCAAACTAAATTATTATTTTCCTTGTATCAACTTGTAAAAATGCCCTATAGTCATACAAAATAAATGCCTATTTGATTCATGAAATCTGGAAAATTTTGGCTTCAATGTTTTCTATTATTCACTGGCATCATAGATTATGAATGAAACTGTTCAAAATAATGGTTTCAAAGTCTTCAACTGAATTAAATTCCAGTTGTAAAAATATTCTTCACTAAAATAAGTTTAGGAAAGAATGACAATAGTGACGGAGTTTCTTGCGCTACTCTCAGCACTGGCCCATTTATTGTCCCAAAGCAGTGGTAGGGCTAATACTGGGACTTATAAAAGCCAAAATAAATGAGTTTTAATGGCTATGCAACTAGATTCATATCACTGACTCAGGTTAAAAACCTGTATTTAGATTTTATTTAGACTTAGAAAATTAGAAATAGTCCTTAGGAGCATAGAGATTGAAGACATCTATGATCTTAATGTAACATGATTTGATTGAGTTACTAAGTTTTTGCATTGATTTTAATAAAACATAGTGCTATGTTTGTTGTTTAGAATGTTAGTACTAACTTTTAACATGCAATAGTGCCAAGTTTACGCCTTTGCAAGCTTCGCAGGGCTGACTTCTTGGTCGCGCTGGCATCTTAACTGCCGATCCTCAGCATGTGTCCAACTCTGCGCTTCTTTTCGAAGTTGTTGCATTAGAACTTACCTAATAATCTTTTGTTTCTGTTAATTTTGAATTTCCTTGCATTTTAGACTTACATTGTTCTCTTATGTTGGTTTTGTTTCATGTTTTGTTATATTGAAACAGACTACATGATTGCGGGGCCCCCAATGAGTTTCGGTATGATGAAAGGTAATTCTACAGTCAGAATTTTATTATTATTTATTTATTTTTTCCAAATTTTGTTCTCACCCGCTCATCTGTTGTGGATCTAGGTAATCTTTGGGGATTTATAATTTTAATCGTTGCACAAAATTTCTCGTTTCCACATCACAAGCCATCATTATTTGCAATCTTATTTTGTTTTGTTATACTTTTCTTTTTCTATGTCGTCTACTTTCACCGCTAATCGAAGCCTACTAAACGACTACGCTAATACTGACCGCTCGCTACTAAACTTCACGATTAACATATTACATTAGTGCATATTTGATTATCTTTTGTTTGCCCCGGCCCGTCCTGTCCTATCCCTTATGCTTTTTGTTTTTTTCTTTCATTTTGCCGGCCTGCTGCTTGGCTTGAAGGCGGGTTGAATGCACCGCCCCACCATAACCAATACGGTTACCACCCGCCATACCAGGGGGGTCCGATGGGCCACCCGGGTGGGTACGGGTGGTCGCAGAGCCCGCAACCGCCCCGTTTCGGTGCAGAGGGCGCCCGTCGGACTCCGGGCGGCTCGGGCGGCGGTCAGGCCTCGCAGGCCGGGAAGGACGATAAGACCAGCCCGTTCGTATCCACGTTGCATTCGCACCCTGGATTTCAGCCGCAGAAGATCGGGAAGGGCGCTGGTGCGGTAAGTCGTTTTATAACTTGTTAATTTAAAGCGCATCCTTAGGCCTGGTTTCCACCAAGGCGAACTGGTGAACCTCTTCATTCTGCTTCACCGTGGTGCAAAACCGGGCCTTATGGGTTGATGTTAATCTGATGATCATTGTCATAGATAATTTTGGAAACTAAATATTAATCCTTTTTTATTGTTAATTTTGTTCTCAAGTAAGTGACAATTATGTTTTTATTGAGAAATAAAGAATCTTTAAACCTTAATCCAGAACTGAAGTAAATAAATATTAATCCAGAACTGAAGTAAATACATATTAATCCAGATTAAAATGGGAAACTTAATTACATAATCTATTTACTGGGGACAAATAAAATTCTTGTATTCAATTTTCTTATCACATTTTGTCATGATTATACAGATTTCTAAAACACCAGATTTGTTTGTAATTTGTATATGAATTCAAAACTTTTTATTATTACTCATGTCTTACAAATTCTTTCATTCCGAAAACACACCTAACTCCTCCCTACCACAAACCATCACCTGTTACAACTGTCTAAAACACCAATTCCAGGGCGCCGGCCTGCCCAAGCCGCCGAAGCCGCCAGAAAAACCCCTAATGCCATACATGCGGTACTCCCGCCGAGTCTGGGACAGCGTGAAGGCAGCTCATCCAGACCTGAAGCTGTGGGAGATTGGCCGCATCATTGGAGGCATGTGGAGAGACTTGCCAGAGTCGGAGAAAGCAGGATTTGTAGACGAATACGAGGCTGAGAAGGTAATTGTTTGGATATTGTGATGATACAGGGTGGAAAGTAGATCGAAATTTAAGATTTACTATTCACCCTGTATAATGTGGTAGTCCTGCATAAAGTACTTTGAAATTAATACAATACTGATAAAATAAAAGTACAAAATCGATATCTCTAAAACACTCAATAACTCTTATTTATAGTGCGGCGAGGTTCCAATTTCTATGTCATAATCAATCAATATTTTCGAACATAATTATGTACCTTATGCAGAACAAGCCAGTACTTATTAGTGCACATTAGGCCACTAATGGTTTCGCATTAAGAATTTTTTTTAGAGCAATATTAAAGTTACTTTTGATCGCATTTAGTGTGGGCTACTTGTTGCCTAATGTGAAGTAATATTCAATAATTATCAAATGAAGATCATTGTTTATTATTATAATTAATTAAAACAGTTGTGTATGAATGTTGCACAATTCAGTACTTAATAAAAGTCAATAAGATAAATACAATTTATTTCAAACTCAGGCGCAGTACACAGAAATGTTGAAAGCTTACCAATCGTCGCCAGCGTACATACAATGGCTGGCGCACAAGACTCGAGGTACACTGATTCCGACCCTACGCTAGTATACTCAGGGTTCAGTTTGTGTATAACCACGCCTACGTCACTGCTTCATTTAACACAGGGTACCGGTATGCAATGTCTGGACACGTACATCTCATGACGTCACTGTACATGATGCAAATAGAAGCCACTGTACATTAAGCACTTTATACACAAACGTAAATATACTTTTGTTTACTTCACAATTGTAAAAGCACATTTACATAGAAAACTACAGTAAATATTTACATATTAGTACAAATAAAAAGGGGTAATGTCTCAAGCTTTTAATAAGTTTCTTCATTAGCACTAGACTTAACTAGTGCTTGTATTGACATAATTATTTTTATTAGTCTTTTCATTCTTTCTTTTCAGCCAAATGACGTCCACTGCTGGACAAAGGCCTCCCCCAAGGTTTTCCACAATGAACGGTCCTGCGCTGCTGTATTTTATTAGTCACACAAGAATAACACTGCACAACAGCATTTCTGATGATTTGGTTATCTTACATGCTATTAGTTCAATTTTTAATGACGATTTAAAATCTGTGATTGTAATGTCTGTATCAGCTCTGGTTAAAAAAATATGACACTTAGGTCTTTTTGAAATAAAACACCCTTTTTTTTAGAGATGATCCTATTTTATGAAGTTGTTAAGTTGATAAAACTTCCTTTTATTTGATAAAATTGTTTAGGTGATTGCGAAGAGAGTGTATTTTGATGTTTCTATTACATCCAACAAAAAAAACATGTTTATAAGTGACTCATACGTTGTTCAAAGTGCAAGAATAGTATGATTTTTCCGAATTTTTCAAAAAAAAAAATTATAATGCCAAAATAACTCAATTCATGTCTTTTCTGAAGACTTGAAGATCCTAGATCTCTGAAACGATCGTTTAAACCATCTTGGCTACATGGTTTTGAAATTTTCGGGTCACATTCAAAGTCTCTACCACACTGCCAGTTTTCGCCTCAAAATCCTCCTGTGAAGTATCAGCATGAGGTTCTGGTGACTTTTTAGGGTTGAAAAGACGTCTACATGCCAAACGTATGCAAGGAATTACCATTTAGTTCAATTTTTTTTTGGTTAATACCATTTCTGTTCAAAAATAAAAATAACCTTCGTCGCGATGGTTCAAGGGTTCCTTTCAGATTATAGCGGTTTCGTAACTAAATCTACACATATTCTTATTTGTTCACAAACGTAAAACCTCAACGCATCTTTTCCACGCCTTTTGCGGAATTCAAGGCTTATCTTTCATATCCACTGGGTCCCCAAACAAATTTTTGTAAGCCAATTTTACAAACTTTGTCACATTTAAACGGATTTTTTGAACATATCCTCTCCGCAAATGAAACAAAATTGATTTAGATCATTCACACAAACACTTCTTAATGCTAGCATATTAAATTATACAAAGAAAACATAGTATTTTTTAAACTGTCCGCGAATTAAGACTGAAATTTAGCAATTTTTGAGTGGAAGCTATTACACGTAAACAAGAGCTGCTACGAAAAAATGGACGGCAGATTCAGAATCAGCGACGTCAAATTAGTAAACATCATGTAATGAAAGTCAATCATCAGCCAAAAGTTGCAATTTTGTTGTGCAGTGTAATTAAATAACTATTTTGACATAACCCGCGCCAGCGACAGTATCGGATGTCACTTTCAGAATTGACACTGTCAATTCGACAGTCTTATTAGGTCGAGACAGATTAAATATTTTAAGATCAAGATAATGATACAAATTGAAATTCTTTGACGGTATTTTACCTACAGACACTTCTACTCAATACATTCTACACAATTGTTTATTAAACCTGCATCCCACAGTTGGACGTTATGGACTGTCCAACTTTGGGGATAGCCCCAGTCTTGAATTTGACGTTTGTCCTACCATATAATCAGTGATGAGTCCTCTCATTTCATGAACAATGCCCTAAGACAAGATGTTTTTGTATATTAGTGTTTGGAATTTTGTGGTGCAACTTAAGACCAATGTTGAATTAAGTTTAAATTGGATTTGAGCTTCGTCGCTTAATACGAGCCTTTAAAACTACCTCACGAAAAGGAGTGCTGTTACTGCCACATATTTTGGAACCTTCATCAACATCAACAGCTGTTTACAGTCCACTGCTGGACTATGAGCCTCTCACTGTAGTGAAGGGTTTTGCCATAATGCCAACGCTTGGCAGGCGGGTTGGAGATCGCAGTTTAAAAGAATGATGTTTTTCAGAGAGTGCTGCTGCCCATTCTCTGTTTGATTTGGAACCTTATTGTCATGTAAAGTCCAGAACCAGTAAAGTATTGATCTTTCCAGGTCCAATAAAGTCTAAAATCAAATAATATCTCCGAAACGATACTTGGGAGACCTTTCTGATCACGAAAAATGTCTTCAAGTTTTCTACCTTTTAGCGACTATAGCAAAATACATCATCTTGTCTCAGGGCAAAATTGTGACTAACCCTCCACTTGAGTAATGCTAATTTTGTCCTCCACATGCACCTCACCTCATGTATATTTGCACGTTGGGACCTAACGCCAGTCGGAGTACGAAAAGAGCCTCAAAACGTACCACAATTCGCCCGCGTACCTGGCGTATATTGCGGCGAAAAATAAGGCAGTAGGTAAGGATGCGGATGTTACGCTTCTGTACTCATAATCTGTGGACAAAGTAACGAACTCTTTCAAATAAGACGTTTTGCCGGGGTGAACACTGAAGTGTCCCAGATATTACATTGACAAGAGGGCGCTACTATCATTCAGGGATGTTATGGATATGCGTAACCGTAACTGAAACTTACGGATATCCGAAATAAAAAAATATCCGAAACCGTAACCGATTCAAAAGTTTCGGATGTAGGCAGTTTTTTGTATTGCATTACGTAAAGGCATAACAGCCTGATTATTTACCTTTAAAATGCCATCTAGTATCATTTTTTTTATTACTTTTTATTCGATGTAAAGTGTGCGGCCATGAATGAACCGTGTTGGACAACTATTGCAAATTGCATTCTAAAGCACAGATATCCGTAACCGAAACTTTCGGATATCCGAAATAAAAAAATATCCGTAACCGAAACCGGTATAATATTATTCCTATATCCGTAACCGTATCCATAACCGAAACGACATATCCATAACATCCCTACTATCAATACTGGGTTATTAGTTCCGATTTTGCCCACGTGACGTTTCAGAATCATTTTACTATACCAAAAGTTATAGCGTGACTGTCATCCTGCTCAAAACGTCTAATTTAAAAGAGTCACAAATCAATGTTTAGGCACAAATCTCGTCGATCAAAACGCGAAATGGCTTATCTGCGTTTGCGCAACTTTGCACTGGACTTTTGCAATAAATTGGTACCTAGTCAATTTGTTAGATACGCCACTTCGTGTTTCGACCGATTAATTAACTATGAAACAAACTTCAAAGTGTCTGCTTATTTAATGTTGCATGTTTGTCTTTAACTGATCATGGTGCATGATACTTTTAGTTCTCTAACTAAAGCCTGGTCCGTGAGCACGTAGAATTTTGTCCAATGATGACTCCAAGATACCCATCCTTATCGCTCGCGCGTAATTGTGTTGCTGTCACGCTCGCACACTCACTGCGGGCGCCCGTCGCGCGACCGATAAGGATGGGTAGCTTGGGGTCATTGGACAAAATTCTACGTGCTCACGGACCAGGCTTTAACTTTAATATTCTTGCGCACAAGTTCTTTAACTTCATTTAAATATACAAAGATTAGTCAATACTAAACAGTTTAGATTAATGATTCTCATTCTACTACCATTCACTCTCACCTGATTACTATACTAATAGTTCGTCCTTTTGCTGTTATTAATCTCCAAAATAAAGTTATATTTCCGCTTAAACTATGTGTTGTTATGTGCATTAATTTTGAATTTGTTACCTTTCTATACTCGATGTCGATACATAGGGCTGTATTTTCCATACACATTGTTTGGAAACAAATAATAATGCATCACTCTTCCCATGTCATTTGATACAGAAATATCATCTTATGGTATTTTGAAATGATAGTGGATTTTTGTGACCAAAGCAATGTATTTTTTTTACGGTCATTTTTCTCAAAAATCCGCTACACTTTAGGTTTTGAGATTACACATTACTGTAGTTGATCAAGTTGTATGATGTAGTTGAGCGAGGTTTAAACTAGCAATAAAACTTGCTGAAGTTGATTTGCGCAAGCTTTTTACCACTGTGTAAATAGCTGTAAAATAACTGTAAGGCCTGCTATACACGGACAGCTTGAAGCAGTTAGTGTCGACAGCTTCAAGCTGCGGCTGCATAACAAACTACGGAAACAGTTGTAACTGCTCGAGCGGTTTCGTGTATGTGTGTACGTAGTTTACTGTAGTTTGCTATGCAGTCGCAGCTTGAAGCTGTCGGATACTAACTGCTTCAAGCGGTCCGTGTATCGCCGGCCTATCTACTGCAAGATTTACACAGTGGTGACAGCTTTCGGAAGTGAGCTTTTAACTTTTCTAACTTCTTTTAACTGATATTAATTAATTAAACTTGCTTACCCTGCTAGTAGTCGTATTATGAACCATAAAGTATCGAGTATAGAAGCCATTCTCCAACTCCCCTCTAAACACCACTCGGTCAGCAGTAGGCAACCTGGAGGAGGAGAGCTCAAGCAAGAAAGGCAGCTCGCAGAAGGAGCAGCAGCAACAGGACAGAAGGATTGATATACAGCCAGCTGAGGATGAAGAAGGTAAGAATTGGGTACTAATTATGTAGCATTTCATCCACAAAACAAACATTAGTTGAGAAATTAAGTTTTAAATTCTCAGTGCGGCATGATACAATAATAATTCATTATTACCGCCCCAAGCAATTTTTTGGAAGCTACAAGATCAACTGCTTGACCAAAAATCTGTTTGACTAGAATCTTAGCTTTAACAACTTACGCCCGTATTCACAAACGATGCTTGAAATGAAGCAGCAAGTCTATCGCACAGCGTTGAATAGAGCTCTGTGATTGGTTGGTGCATCCACGCGCACTGTGAGACCTCATAGTAATGTTTGTGAATACGGGCGTTTGTATTAAAGTCGGCTCTTTGAAAGGTGGCAGGCCTAGACTCAAGAGAGTGACTTGAATTTAGTTCAGAAGCTAGTTATCCTTCAGTTATTTAATTGAATATCGGCGGTTAATGAACGGTCCAGGCGTCAAATTTTGCTACTTTAACCTTAAGACTGCGACATATCCACGAAGATATTGTTCAGATGAAACTGTAAAAAATATCCCTGCAGTTGCAGTTAAAATTTTCAAGTGGTCGTCTATCATCCACATACTAAATTCAGTTACATCTGATTCCAGACCAAGACGAGGGCCTATCAGTGAAGCACGTGGCCTACGCGCGCTACCTCCGCAACCACCGACTTATCAACGAGATATTCTCCGATACCGTCGTGCCTGACGTGCGATCCGTCGTCACCACCGCCCGGATGCAGGTAAAGCTTTACACTATACGAGTTGTATCCACATTGATGACATATTCTCAGACATCGTCACGCCTGACCTGACGTGCGATCCGTCGTCACCACCGCTAGAATGCAGGTAAAGTTTTACACTATACATGATGTATCCACATTGATGACATATTCTGCGATACCGTCGTGCCTGACGTGCGATCCGTCGTCACCACCGCCCGGATGCAGGTAAAGCTTTACACTATACCTGATGTATCCACATTGATGACATGTTCTCAGACATCGTCGTGCCTGGCCTGACGTGCGATCTGTCGTCACCACTGCTATGATGCAGGTAAAGCTTTACACTATACGTGTTGTATCCACATTGATGACATATTCTTCGACACCGTCGTGCCTGACGTGCGCTCCGTCGTTACCACTGCTAGAATGCAGGTAAAGCTTTACAAGATAAAACACTTTAATTAACTCTATTATACAATTTAAAAAAATAAGACTGTGGTAAAGACACACTTCCCCGAGGTGTTAAAGTCACACTAGCCGTGGTTGTCAAAGGGAAAAATATGTGAACCAATCTCTGGCCAGTGTGGGGTGGGGACTGACTGGGGAGTGTATAGTCTGGTCTGTGAGCACGTAGAATTTTGTCCAATGACCCCTAGCTACCCATCCTTATCGCTCGCGCGTAATTATATTGCTGTCGCGACTGTGCGACTGGCACCCGCAGTGAGTGTGCGAGCGCGATAGCAACATAATTGTGCGCGAGCGATAAGAATAGGTAGCTAGGGGTCATTGGACAAAATTCTACGTGCTCACGGACCGGGCTTTAGTCCAAATCCTGTATTTGTCTCTGGTAAACTATAGAGGGTCATTATCAAACAGTGATAATGAAAGTGACACTACATCGCCACAGAAACCGTTTTTTGCAATTTCTCTTTTGTAAGTTGAAATATAAAAATTCTAGAGCGTTTTTGTATTCAAATAGATTTCATAAAAGCTCTAAATAGGGTTTATTTTCTATAGCAGCTCAGTTGTTATAACTTACATGACTATACCACACACCATACCTACTGTTCTTCTTGATCATAGTAAACTAATACAAAATATATTTTCTCCAGATATTGAAGAAGCAAGTGCAATCTCTAACGATGCACCAGAAGAAATTGGAGGATGAGTTGCAGCAAATAGAAGAGAAGTTCGAGGCCAAGAAACGCAAGTTCATTGAGAGCAGCGAGACCTTCCAGGAAGAACTGAAGAAGGTATGTAGTACCCGTTGTTTGAGATTTATTTTATGACAAACTAGCTTTCCGCCCGCGGCTTCGCCCGCGTGGAATTTTGTCTGTCACAGAAAAACAATATCGCGCGCGTATTTGCTCACCGTTTAGACCTACCCTGGACTACGACAAACATTTTAAAACCAAAATCAGCTCAATCGGCCCAGCCGTTCTCGAGTTTTAATCAGACTAACGAACATCAATTCATTTTTATTTATATAGATAGATGATAGCTAGCGGCCGCCCGCGACTTCATACGCGTGGATCCCGTTTTACCCCCTTCATTTATCTTAAGCGGTTAAGATTTTTTTCATACAAATGTTTTTTCCCGCTAACTCCCGTTCCCGTAGGAATTTTGCAATATCCTGTTGTAACTAAGCTTTAAGTTTACTAAGGTACCTGCATGTCAAATTTCAAGCGTCTATCTTACGCAGTTTAGATTTTTTCATACATAATTATGTTTTTTCCCGCTAACTCCCATTCCCGTGGGAATTTTGCGATATCCTGTTGTACCTAAGCTTTAAGTTTACTAAGGTACCTGCATACCAAATTTCAAGCGTCTAACTTAAGCGGTTTAGATTTTTCATACAAAAGGATTTTCCCGCTAATTCCCGTTCCCGTGGGAATTTTGGGAATTCCTTTCTTAGTGCACCTCTACGGTACCTAAACTATGTCCCTTCCAAATTTCAAGTGCCTACGTTTAGCCGTTTAGGCTGTGCGTTGATCTGTCAGTCAGTCAGTCAGTTTCTCCTTTTATATATTTAGATAATAAAGAAATAATATCAACACTATCCAGCAATTAAAAGACAGTGAAAAATTCATTTATGCAAATCTAATACGGAATGGAGAAAGATAAAAATGGCGACTGAAGGTACCGCACGCCTAGCTGAATGACGACTGGTTGTCAAAGTGCGGCGTCAATCAATGTATCCATCCCGATCGCTTTTAATAAGAGTCTGTGTATAATCTGGCTATTAAAGGTTATTAGTAACAAGGGCATAATTATAGCTCGTAGTACTGATGGCCGTTGAAGCAGAAAGTTCTCGAGTAATGACCACGGACCAAATTGTAGGGTGGGTTCGCACTCGATAGATCAACTCTTTATTGAAGGTCGTGGGAAGCCACCGAACTATACAGGGTGGAAACGTTAAGTGATCTCACTCAATTATTTCTAAACTATGCAAGATATCGCAAAACTCGTTACTGATTCTGAAAGTGCTTCACGAGCTCTATCCAACGGTACCAATAATAAATTACAAAATAAACTGGATCTATCCGAAAATTCGATGATTCCAGCTTCCATACTAAATGTATGCCGTTAGAAAGAGCTCGTGAAGCTCTTTCAGGATCAGTAACTAGTTTTTCGATATCTTGTGTAGTTTAGAAATAATCGAGTGAGATCACTTATCGTTTCCACCCTGTATATTGTCATAGCTGGGACGGTTCAGTGTCGGACAACAATACCGAATGCCAAACAAATGACCCTTATTAAGTTGTTAAAGTGCGGGGCTTACGCCCGTATTCACAATTAACGATGCTTGCAAGCAGCAAATCAAACGCACAGCGTTGAATAGAGCTCTGTAATTGGTTCGAGTGTCACCCTGTGCGGCCACACGCACTGTGAGACAGTAATGTTTGTGAATACATGTATTCACAAACATTACTGTTAATGAACTTTTATCCAGATTTGTATCGTTCACTAAAGTTAACCAGTGATAGATTACAGACCTTACCTACTGTACATTACTATTATATTTAAATGAAAATAATTCAAAATATATTTTCTCTTATTAATATATTCTGTTCCAGCACTGCAAGCCGGCCGTAGACGAAGAGACGTTCTCGCGAATGGTGGAGCGCGCCTTAGAGCAAATGCGGCGCGGCGTCAACCCGGCCGCCCACCCGCTCACGCTTAACCAGGCTGAAAGGAAAGACGAAGTAAGCAGTAATAAACAATATATTTTGATTCTAAACTGATTCCAGGTATAAACGAAAGCCTTGGGCTTAACAATGCATTGTGAGACGCTATGAATAAAGCACTCTATCAGTGGTTCTCAAAGTTGTCTGGGCTACGACTCATCTAATACAAGTTCCCAAACTCGGGACCCACCTATAGGAAATTTCGTCCGCTGCCCAGCGGTTAGATCGGTAGGGTGGTATGTCGTTCTACAGGCTGGGCCCACTCACACACCACAGTTTGGGAAATCCTGCTCTATATCATTCATTACAGCACGTTCGTTTCAGCCGAATGACGTCCACTGCTAGACAAAGGCCCCCAAGGATTTCCACAAAGACCGGTCCTGCGGCGCCCGCATCTGTTCATTACTGTTCCTTTAATTTATTCGCTCTAAAGGTTCTTGGCTTCGAAAAAGTGCTCATGTTATTTTGATCGAAAAATACCGAATATTTTATTTTGGCCCAAGAATCGTGCACATCACGTACTTTTAGACTCAATAGAGAATTTAAAATTCATTTACTTTTGGCGTCCATAAAAAAGAGCACGATTTCTTGTTTCTAGTCAATGTCATGTCACTTTGGAATTTTAATGTATGTACCTACATTATCTATTATCTCTCTCTAGCCAATGGAACAAGAGCCGACGCCGATCAAGACGGAAACAAACGGGCCCAACCCGCCGACACAAGTCGATGCCGTGTCCACCACCGAGCCCAAGCCCGACGGCTCCACCACCGAGCTGCAGCCCGACCCCAAGCCCGAGCCCGAGCCGCAGGAAGGTGAGCTCTGTTCCCGCGCCATAAGGCACAAGGCTGCTTGCACGCGACACTAGTGGACGCGTGGCCACCAGCGAGCCCGAGCCCGACGGCTCCACCACCGAGCTGCAGCCCGACCCCAAGCCCGAGCCCGAGCCGCAGGAAGGTGAGCTCTGTTCCCGCGCCATAAGGCACATTTAAACTCTCAATATTTTTAATTAGTTTATCATACTCTACATTGAACTCCTCAAATAAACTTGCACACAAAGTACATTTTTCTGACTTTACTTTAGACGTTCTACGTTTTTCTCCTAATTTTACAAGATAATCACGTAAGTATTTAATTTCATTATATAAAGTAGTAAGTTTTTCCATAACATAAAGATATTAAGACATTTTAATATAACATTTTTATGTACTTTTAATACAATTTAAATATAAGTACAAGGTTATTAAAATTAAGAGTAAAATATTGGTTAGATACGTTACGATTACACTCACGGGTTTCACTTTCACTCTCACTCACACATTGTCCATCTTGAAAGAATTTCCGTCTTGACGTGGCCGTGGACGTCTAAAAATCGAAGATCCCCGTAGAAAATGTTCATTAATGGCTCTCCGTGTCCATTTTCCGTGGCAGCGTTTATACCCGCGGTATGACAGATACACCAAGATGATGACTGCGATGACTGACAGCATAGCCAGAATAAAATTGGTGGTCGACATGTGGAACAAAAGCTGGTCAGTTGCGGCAGAATTCATGCCCCCCACAGCATTTTGGGCAATTACGACCTCTTGAGGTTGTACTTTACTGGAACCTTTTCCCATTGTTTTCCACTGATTAAACGTTCACCACGACGAAAAAAGTCAAGCGTATTGGACGCAGGTAAAGATGTGATTGGTTTCATTTTGATCACTTTTTAGGCACTTCAGTCACATTGTTCTAGATTCTNTCTGGTGAAATTTGGGGACCCGAATGACATTTCACCATTTTTATGAAAAAAGTCTGGCAACACTGAAAGTTATGGGGAAAAGTTTTTTTTGCGACATGGGTGTTTTTAAAGTTAGTGACAGACAGAAGGAGTCGTGGCAGAAAAAAAATAAAAATGACGTTTGGTCGGATATACGACCCAGATTATGGGAAAAATCCGAAATGTCAAAAAATCAAGATGGCGGCTGAGCGGGCGGCCATTTTGTGAAAAGTTCAAAATTTCGAAATTTTGGAATTCATTTTTCGAGTAGTTGGCAACACTTTAGAAAGTCGAGTTGTATGAGGCGGTTATGAGGAGTTCATAATCAAACACCCGAACTGAGTCAATCCCGTTTATTGAATGCACGATAAAATACAATGAAGCGACTTAAATACTATAGGATAAATGAGCATACACATTAATACAAGGGTTGTTAGTACATACATCACACGCCCCTCCATAAAAAAATAAAAAAGGACTAATTACATTGTACTTTCTTATATAATAATTATTACACTATTATTTAGGAATAAAAAGGTCTTGTCCTATTCTTATGAACAACATCCTCCTTACCATCTTTAATAATTTTTACATTGGGTGATAAATCTTGTAAAACAGTAAATGGTCCTAAATAAACATTATTAAACTTATTGTTACTACAATCATTTTTTAACAATAATTTGTCACCTCTATTATAAGTAACTGGGTTCAAATAAGTATCATATCTATTTTTTCTATCAATTTTACTTCGCAATAAGTTAGATTTTGCGTCATATTGTGCTTTTTGTAATCTAAATTTTACATCTTTTGCATAATTATCTATGTCAAACACTGGTTCAATTACACTATTACATAAATTACTAGGAATATTACACTTCTTGCCATATACAAGTTCGAAAGGAGAATATTGAGTTTCGGTATGAACGGTGGTATTGTAAGAAAAACACCAGTAAGGAACCCACTGACTCCAATAACGCGGATCATTGTCTGTTTGTATGCGAAGGAAAGCGTTCAACGATTTGTGTGAATTTTCCAATGAACCAATCGACTCGTGGTGGTATGCTGTAGAATGAATTTGATTAATATTTAATAGTTTACATACCTCATTCATGGTGGAGTTAATAAACTCAGTCCCGCGATCGGTAGCTATCTCCCGAGGAATGCCGTACCTAAGAATAAAGTTTTGGACAAAAACTTTAGAGACTGTTATACTATCCTTACTCTCTATTGGATATGCCTCTATAAATTTGGTTAAATCACACTGTATAGTTAAAATATAAGAAAAATTAAAATAATCCTTAGCTAGGGGCCCCACTATATCTAAGTATACCTTATCAAATGCAGATTCTGCTGTAGTCGTAACTACCATAGGTTGTTTCGTAGGCAAGTGGTGTTTTTGTTTTTGACATTTTTCACACTTCCTGACGAAATCCCTAATTTCTAAGTCCATGTTAGGCCAAAAATAATATTTTTTAATATTATTGACCATTCGTCTCATTCCAGCGTGTCCACTTGTGGGTAACAAATGGAAATCATTCATAATAACCTTTTTTTCATCTTCGCATGTTACTCTTTTGACGTCATTAATTACATAAATTCGTGGGCCGGACCACTTTTCATTATCTTTTATATAACTGGTTAACCATTCAATATATTTTTTAGTAATATTATTTTTCATGACATATATTTCGTCGACGTTTAATTTATTACAAAATAACTCCAAGTCTCTCACGAACGTGTCTCGCACGGAACATGATCGAGAAAATGGGTTAATATAAATAATAGCCTTGTCAGGAATATTAATAAAACTTTCATTATTCAAGCATCCATATTTCTTTAAATCTTCACTCACTACCAATTCTATGCAATTTTTCGGTTTTTTAAGGAGCTCTACGACTCTTGGGTGATCAGTCCAACTGTCGGTAGACTCTTTATCGACCAAAGAATTGCTACTAACAGGCTCTTTTACACTTCTTTTATACATACTTCGCGTTAAAACATTCAAAATCTTAGCATTCATATCTTTCAAATCGTCTGATGTCACAACTATGCGAGATAATGCGTCTGCAGCCACATTATTCGCTCCTTTTATGTATTCAATCTTATAGTCATACTCTTCCATCAACAAACGAAACTTGAGAAGCCTACTAGAAGGGTCTTTCATGCTGAATAGATAAACTAAGGGCTTGTGGTCTGTAATAATTTTAAAAGTTTTTCCATATAAGTATGGCCGAAAATATTTAACTGACCATACTATAGCTAAAAGTTCCTTTTCGATTGTTGGATAATTTAATTCAGCTTTATTCAAAGCACGACTTGCATAAGCAATCGGCATGTCGTTACTATTACATAAAACCGAACCTATAGCAATGCCTGACGCATCTGTGCGTAGAATAAACTCATTTTCATTGGAAAAATCTGGATATTGAAGTATTGGTGGATTTTGTAAAGCGTTTTTTAAGTGAATAAAGGAATTTTCGCATTCATTCGACCATTCAAACGTCACTCCTTTTCTAGTCAATTTATTTAGTGGTATACATATTTCGGCAAAATTTGGTACAAACTTACGATAATAATTTGCAAATGCGACAAATCGTTTTATTTCATCACTATTTGATGGGCGTGGGTAATTTTGAATCACTATTGTTTTTTGTGGATCGGGATAAACACCCCGTGATGATACTACATGGCCCAAATAAAGTAACTCTTTTTTCAAAAATTGACATTTTTCAGGATTTACTTTTAAATTAACTTTACGTAGTCTCTCAAAAATGCTTATTAAATTTTTATTATGGATATCTAAGGATCTGCCAAAACAAACAAGGTCATCTAAATAAATTAAACACTTTTCGTAATTTAATCCAGACATTGCTACAGTCATGAGTCTACTAAAAGCGCTTGGGCTTGTTTTCAAACCCATAGGAAGCCTTTTCATCTGATATTGCTTATCTGTGACGAATGCCGTATATTTTCTACTCTCTGGATCCAATTTCAATTGATAATAACTTTGGCTAAGGTCTAAATGGCTAAAATAAATTGCGCCAGATAATGAATCTAAAATTTCATTAATGTTTGGTAGCGGAAATTTATCATGTTGAATTTTTTCATTAAGTTTTCGATAGTCTATTACAACACGCCATTTTTTGTCAGGGTCATCACTTTTTTTTGGTACTAAGAGAAGAGGGCTTGCCCATTCACTTTGCCCTTCCTCAATTATATCATTTTCTAACATCTTTTTTACTTGTTTTTCGATTTCAATTTTATGTGTTTTAGGTAAACGATAAGGCTTTGTGTAACATGGTGTAGAGTTTTCCTTCAGGTAAATTTTTTGTTCATATAAGTTAGTACAAGTTAAATTATCACCTGGCAATAAAAATACGTCAGAATATTTTGCACAAATGTTTTCGATTGAAACTTGTTCTTCGTGATTTAAATGATTAAATTTCAAAATTGAAAATAATTGTTTTACTCTATCAGCACACACTGTTTCCCTATCAAAGCTAAACACGTCATAGTTATCGATAATATGTAATTCTGGAGTAAAATAACTAAGGCAAACTTCTTCATCTCTGGTATTTAAAATTTTAATAGGAATTCGGTTGTTTTTAGGAGAAACTATTATTCCAGCTAAAAATAAACCATCAGACAACTGTTTTGGAGCAACAAAACAATCTTGTTTCACGGACGTATTGATGTAATGAATGTATTCGCAACGAGGTGGCATAATAATGTACTTATTAAATCCTAATTGTCCCATTTCAAGTGGAATAATAAAAGAATCGCTATTTTCATGATTGATGGTTAGCGTGTTTTGCTCAAAGTTAAGTATACATTTAAATTTGTTCATAAAATCCTGTCCTAATATACCATCAGTTTTACAGGGTAAAGTTTCGAAAACGTAAACTTTATGTTCTAATTCCAATTCATTATACAATAATTTCAAATAAACATATCCCTCCGTATACACAGAACCGCCTATGCCATTGATACGTACTCGCTCTATATGGAAAGGAATGTTCTTACTTGCCAAATGTTCTAGCTTGATGGCCGACAACGTCGCGCCAGTATCAAGTAACCAAGAATGTTTCTCGCCTAATAATGTCAAATTTATTGAATTATAATTATTGAAATCGCTAGTAAAATGATTAAGACCGAAAAAACAAATTTTCGTTCGAACTTGACTGATTTATTTCCGCATTAGTGCCATCCGATTGTTGTGGTTGCATCATGTTCACGGAGTTAAATCGGTTGGGGCCACTAAAACCGCGTCTGCCCGCGCTACGCGTACGAAAGTTGTAGGAACTGCGGCCTCGGCCTCTATTATTTTGATATGAATTATTAGCATTATTTGAATGGTTAAATTGGCCTCTATTAGAGTTTCCCTGCCGGTTAAAATTATAAGGTCTCTGCTGATGAAAATTTCGACGCCCCCTGAAATTGTTACCTCTCTGACCTCGAAAACTCATAACTTGGTTTTCCTGGCCCGACGACACTGCTTCATCCAAAGCTCCAGAGATCGCGTCCTTAAGTGAAGTGTAATTACGCGCTGCAATAATGGTGCTGATTCGACTATTTCTCAATCCATCGGAAAATTGTTTAATAGCATATTTTTCATTAATAGGCCGAAGTACTTCATAGCTTTTTGAATTTCCTGCGGCTTGTGAAATGGTCAAATCTACAAAAAGTTGCTCAATTTCCTTACCAAACTGCTCGATAGTTTTGTTGTCCTGTTTCGCACGATGAAGTTGTTGCTGCAACGCCGTAGGTGACTTTTTGGAAAGTAACCTTTCCCTAATATCACGAACAAGGTCTGAAACAGATTCGTAAGATTCGCACAATCGCAATTTCGCGCTTTCCGACAATCGTGATTTTAATACGAATGTAATTAAAGCCGGTTTTGCTGAATCCTCCAGCATAGAGTCATATAACTCAATATTAGAAATAAGTTGTTTTGTGACATTTTCGTCATCAGTCATTACAGGTAAAAGAGAAATGGCAGTTTTTAACTCAAATTTCGCCATATTGGTGTTTTTCTCACTTTCACTTTCAATATCAGGTTCCGAACATAAATCTAAAATTTTACTATATAAAGTATCCACCTTTTGTCTTAAATTATACAAGTACTTAACAGTTTCCTCTTTTAACTTTAAACTCTCAATATTTTTAATTAGTTTATCATACTCTACATTGAACTCCTCAAATAAACTTGCACACAAAGTACATTTTTCTGACTTTACTTTAGACGTTCTACGTTTTTCTCCTAATTTTACAAGATAATCACGTAAGTATTTAATTTCATTATATAAAGTAGTAAGTTTTTCCATAACATAAAGATATTAAGACATTTTAATATAACATTTTTATGTACTTTTAATATAATTTAAATATAAGTACAAGGTTATTAAAATTAAGAGTAAAATATTGGTTAGATACGTTACGATTACACTCACGGGTTTCACTTTCACTCTCACTCACACATTGTCCATCTTGAAAGAATTTCCGTCTTGACGTGGCCGTGGACGTCTAAAAATCGAAGATCCCCGTAGAAAATGTTCATTAATGGCTCTCCGTGTCCATTTTCCGTGGCAGCGTTTATACCCGCGGTATGACAGATACACCAAGATGATGACTGCGATGACTGACAGCATAGCCAGAATAAAATTGGTGGTCGACATGTGGAACAAAAGCTGGTCAGTTGCGGCAGAATTCATGCCCCCCACAGCATTTTGGGCAATTACGACCTCTTGAGGTTGTACTTTACTGGAACCTTTTCCCATTGTTTTCCACTGATTAAACGTTCACCACGACGAAAAAAGTCAAGCGTATTGGACGCAGGTAAAGATGTGATTGGTTTCATTTTGATCACTTTTTAGGCACTTCAGTCACATTGTTCTAGATTCTAAATCACGCTCCATAAATGTAAGTCGGACTTTAGACACACGCGCGGTCAGCTCGAATGGCATGGGTCGCCATATGAGGAGTTCATAATCAAACACCCGAACTGAGTCAATCCCGTTTATTGAATGCCCGATAAAATACAATGAAGCGACTTAAATACTATAGGATAAATGGGGTTGTTAGTACATACATCACAAGTACCCATAGTACCTACAAGCTTTGTTTAGTTTGGGACTAGAGGCGCAGTGTAAGAAATATGTCCAAGAATATAATTTATTACTTTATTATTTCATTATTCTGCCAGCGAATTTCGCTCATCCTAGCAAGAGCGTCTTACGCTTACTAAACCGCGATCTTTTAAGATCTATTATAGTTAATTAACCTTTATAAAAAATTGTGTTATTCATCTAAATTGTAAACGAATGTTGTATTTGCCAGGTGTCAAAGAGGAGAGCAAGCCCGACAAACCGGAGGGCAAGGAGGCGCCGCCCGCGCCGGCGCATCCGCCGCACCCGCCGCATATCACGTCTCCGCCGCACCACCGTGAGTGTTGCCACTTACGATAAGAGTGTAAAGGACAGCTGCTATCACGTGTCAGCGCGGAATAGAATAAAGAGTGGTAATGTAGGATAGATGCTAGGGCGTGTCAGTAATCAAAGCTTAGCTCAAAATCAAGGAACTGAGTTTTGGCCCAAAAATTGTCAAAAACAATAATAAACTAAAAACTAAAGCTATAAATGTATTATCTATCTGTAAGCTCACTTGCATTTTAATTAAATAAACAAATAAAAATATAGTTAATGTACCTAGCTGAATAGAGTAACAAAGAACTGAGCGAGCGAGATATCACTAGCAGCAACAATATGTGTTAAAAAGAGATGCGTGATACCGTCGCTGTCACGCCGAACAGAACCGTTTTGTTAAAATATTTGACAGTTCAGAGGCACGCTAAAATTTGTAGTCTTGAGATATTTTCAGATTTTACGTGACTGGTTCAATGATTGATTTATTGTACAAAACAGTGAAATAATCCTGACACTGACACATAAATGATATATCCAGTCGTTTGTCGCGCTGCTAAAGTCGCCCAAATATGAAAGCGCTCTTATCGTTTCCACTCTGTGTTAATGCTCGGTCTACCTGCAGCGATGATGATGCCGCCGAACCCCAACGCGCCGGCGCACCCCGGCCCGCCGCACGGCGCTCCGCCCCCGCCGCCAGGTATGTTACAATTCAGATATTCAATGAGGGCTATCGTTTTTATACTTAACAGTTGGCACCCCTGGCGATTGACAGGACCTTACTCTACAGTGGCGCTATCTTGATGAGTGCAATTGCGATAGTCCTCCTACCACTTTAGCGCTCACCAGTTGGTGCCACTGTCTTCGCTACTAGCAAGTGACAAGACCTTACTCTACAGTGGCGCCAACTGGTGAGCGCTAAAACGATAGCCCTCATTGGTTTGCTGCTATCTGCAAACTAATCACTAAACTGGCAATGATTGATGGGTATTAACTGGAATTATCGAGTTTGATGCACGTTTGAAATTCAATGATTTTATGCCTTAATCACTAAACTAAACCACTCAAACAAGTCAATTGTTCAACAAAATTTGTTGAATTATGCACTTAACCGCTTGAGTCCCAGACGGCATTCATTAATGTCATATGATAACAATTGATTATCCATTGTGTCTAGATTCGCGGGCCTTGAAGGATTAAAATTGGTTATTTATTTAATAACAGTTAAGGGTTTCCTAATCACTTACTTGGGATAAAAAAGACAGGGGGAGTTTGTTTTTCGGAGTAACCCCGCAGGACTGCACCAAATTACCACAGTATAAGACCCGTTTTCCACCAAGGCGGAACGGAACGTAGCTAAGCGGAGAAGTGTTTGATTAACCAACCAGATTTCATTATTTCCACATCTCTCGCCGCCGCCGCTGTCAAATTCTATAGAAAAATTAGTCCACCCGACACATCTCATCTCTTCTCCGCTCCGCCTTAATGGAAACCGGGTCTTACTATCACGTGCACTATAAGTATACAGGATGTCACAAAAAGTAGTGTCAAGCCAAAGCTCAGAGGTAGAGCATCTCTAGAGCTACCCAAATCAGCGTGACTTAATAGTTTTCGAGTTATGATTTTTTTTTTTACAATATACGGGATTTTAGTTTACTTTCAAGTTATGTATGTGAATACTTTTGAATCAGCTAGGCCTTGTATTCATCTAATAGTTATGGATGTAAATACTTTTGAATCAGCTAGGCCTTGTATTCATCTAATATTCGCGCCACAGTGTCGAAAAAAGTTCCTAAGCACAGAAAGAAGAACGGTCACGCCCCATACAAAAAAAACCCAGACCCGACAGAAACGAGACATACCTCAGTTTTTTTGTCATGTCTTAATTAGTTAAATTATATATTTTTTATATTCGAAATCTATGTATAACACCAAAATATTACCCTTTGTTTTTGTTCAGGCGTTATACAAAAACTAATAAAAAATGCCTATTTATCCCCAAAATTGGNCTTTTTGCAGCCGAAAAAAATTATTTTATTAGAATAACAGTGCAAGAATACGAATTTTGTCAAAAACAATAAAAATTAGTTTATTAACTTGTAAAAAACAAATGTTGAATATGGTGTCCTAAAAATAGGACAGTGGGGAGGAATGGGTTAATGCGAGTACATGAAGTGTATTTTTATGCCCATGTTGCACCCTAGCTCTTGCAGGTTGGATAGCATGCTCTCAACAATTTCTTTTTGCTTAGGAAATTACTTATAACCAAAAAAATGAATTCTAAGCTTAGGACTGGACTTCAGTCATTGATTTCTTAAAATTACGATCATTTACCAGTTGCCTAATGTGAGTCCCATCAAAAATTACCAACATTCAAGTTTTCTGTGCTTAATCCTGAAAACTTTCATGAAAGAAAATTATAACATTCGTTACTTTTGTCAAGCGCCTTCACAGACTGTTTCAAGATGCCGAGGTTAAAATAGAGTGGTGGAAGTACGGTGATCTTGGCTAGCTAAAGGCATGTTTATAAAATAGTTTGTATCAACTTTAGCTGAAAAGCAAAAAGTTGTGTGTGCGGGAAGCCGCACTGATCAAAATGTTTGTTACCAATGCTTTTGTTTGTTACGACTATTCCAGATACACATGAAACGGGAATTTTGTGTAGCCCCATTGTTGGCCTAAAGTAAGTTACCTATTCTCAGAACACAAATAACCCATTTGTGGTCTTGATTAATTATTTCAAATATTTATTTTAAAGTGTCGATGTTACCCAGTTTTCATGAAATCCGATAGAGGTTTTCGACATTTTTCAAATATTATATTTACCACAAACATAGCAAAAGCAATCTGGATTAAGCACACAACATCTTCATAACGAAGCAATATCGAAAACACCAACAAAATAAATTTTTTTGTCCAATTAAATCAAAAATCTAAGTAAAAATATTAAATGAAGGTAGATAGCTATAACTTAAAAACAAAAGCTGTTAGAGAAAAACTGTTGCCATATTTAAAAAATATGCGTCAATTTGAGATAGAAACAGTAAAAAAATCACAGGAAACAAACAATTTTATTTTTTTTGTTGACCAGTGTAATTTAGATACATATTTATGTCATAAGTTTCACATAACATTTAGGGAGTTGCACCACCTAACTATGACCGTAACTTTAACGACAACCGGTGCTTTTTGGTTTTTGACAGATTTTTCCATTCAGATTTTTCGTTTGTCAATGTTGAAGTAAGATGGTGCAACCCAGCCTTAGTAGGTATTGCCCATTGCCATACAATACGAATACCTGATTGAATGAAGGCCTAATTAAAGCTTTTGATTTCCAATTCCACACCACACATTTATATGAACTGCTCGGATTTTACAGTTACGTTTTCATTAAATACTTTGTTAAAAAAGGCGAAGATTATCTTAACGCACACATAATATAAAAGAGTTCGGTGTATAGTCTGGATATAGCCTTTCAGAAACAATCACTTCCCTCTGAATTACTGATACTCTGAATAGTGACCTTCCACCGCAATAAAGTAACCCTTTTACAATTCATTTCCAATTAGGCTTTTATCCAGCCACGATAAATTTTATTGCGGATCTTAAGAGAATTTACGTGATATCTCCCGGGTACATCTGACCTCTGCCCTTTAATTTGATAATCGGTCAAGACCCTGGCTATTAAATTACAGAAGAAAAGGATTTATTTCAATACTCAGAAGAATTCATTAATGTAAAATTTTCTGAAATCACAATATTTTGCCATTACTTTAAATATTGTTATTATGAATAAGGCGTTTTAGTTTTTAATAGTAAGAGACTACATTTGGGTAATTGTGAATTTTGAACAAATTTAATTCAAAGTTTACCCATGGTGGCTATAGCATGTTTTGTGAACATTGCATTTTGTGTTTTGAACATAAAAATATAAATGAGTTACCTACCTATTATCGGGTTTCTTACATTGCCTTTGCTTTAAACCCCACTCCCCGAGTAAGCTGGAAAAAGATAACTTCTCCGTCCATTACACTACGGTTCAGTTGCACGAATTATACTCGCGCATAATCCGGCGTCACGCTGTCTCCGCGTCCCAGCACGTCCCAATTACAATGCAAAGACGAAAATGTTGGACAGGCTTTATTTCGTTGTTTACGTAAATATTCAACGGTTGTCGCAGATGTCCCCATCGTGTCGCTGAAACTGGGCACGAGTTTGAACCCAAAGTACATCAAGGAAGGGGATGACGTGTACTTCGAGTGCAGCGTCAAGGCCAACCCGAAGAGTCATAGGCTGACGTGGTATAAAGGGGTGAGTTATGTTCAAAACCTACCGTCTAAATTTAAAGCTAGCAAGCTAGCAAAGAGCTTCCTCGTTGTGGATAAAAAAATGTTTATTTGGTCAGTCAGTAAATAAAATACTACGAGTATGTGCTATTAGTGCTACAAGAAACTAATGTCCACAAGTATGCAGTTCACGTAAAATACTTTGCTGATTTGGTAGTTTATATTGTGTATGTTGGCAATACGGAAATCCGTTTAGTTTTTTCATGTTGACACTATTGTTACTGCCATTTTGAACTCTGTGATTCNATTTAAGAAGTTCTGGAGTACCTGACTAAATGCCATATTGCCAAACTAAATACCTAAACGTAGGATGTCAAATAATAATTAACATTTAACGAAAAAAATATATTTCTGACTGTTCCAAAATCTCGGACTAGATTTTTAATTAATGATTTGAGGACTGTTGTCCCCCCTGGCAAACATTATTTAGAAGCCATGTATTTTTATAACATAATTTGTAAAATACTGAAGTACTTGACTGAATGCCAAATTCCCAAACTGAGTGAATACCTTACCGTTTGGTAAAACGGACTCTACTCGTACGAAGTTGAATCACTGAGCAATTAATTTGTTGAGAATTAATTATGATTAATTTAAAATTATGCAGTTTTAGTGTCCTACCTTCTAATATTATAAATGCGAAAATTTGTGAGTATGGAATAGTATAGATGTTTGATACTCTTTCACGTTAAAACTACTAAACGGATTTTTAGTCAACTTTACAGACGACAATATTTTTTATACATGAGAATAGCATATACTTACTTAGCTTTTGTTTACAGCTTTGTCCACGTAAATTTTTTTCTGTCACAGAAAAAAATATAGAGCGCATTCCTGTTTAAAAAACCGGGATAAAAACTGTCCAAAGTCCTTTCCTGGGACTCAAAACTATCTCTTTACCAAATATCAAAATCGGTTCAATGGTTTATGCGTGAATTCGTAACAGATAGACAGATAAAGTTTTTTTCGCATTTACTTGTATTATATTATTTAAAAGTAAGTAAAGCAGATTTTGGAATAGTCAGAAATATTACCGGTACCAACAATTTATATTTTTTTCGTTAAATGTTAATTATTATTTGACATCCTACGTTTAGGTATTTAGTTTGGCAATATGGCATTTAGTCAGGTACTCCAGAACTTCTTAAATGTTACAAAAATATATGGCTTCTAAATACCCAATGTTTGCCAGGGGGGACAACAGTCCTCAAATCATTGATTGAAAATCTAGTCCTGTTGTCTCCCCTAGCCAGGGGGGACAACAGGATTTCGAAATCCTGTTGGCTCCCCTAGGGGGGCCAAGCAGGGGGGACAACAGGACTGCACCTTCGTGTTATACATAGATTTCGAATATAAAAAATACCTATATAATTTAACTAATTAAAACATGACAAAAAAACTGAGGTATGTCTCGTTTCTGTCGGACCTGGGTCACAGATGACCGTTCTTCTTTAAAACAATCATAACTCGAAATCTATCAAAAATCGCGGAACATACATGGGGGTGATTTGGATAGCCCTAGTGATGCTCTACCTCAGAGCAGCCTTATACTAGGACAAGTTATTAAAAACTTAAATGGATAAGGCTAATTTGAAATGACAATGTATAATGTTTCATAATAAAATATTTGTATTTGTACCTCAAGCCGAAGCTTGACACTACTTTTTGAGACACCCTGTATATCTAAAATGGCAATGCCAGATTTTGTATGAAGGTGGCGTCGTTTTTTTTCGCGCGGCCATCGACCAAACTTTGTTTTTTGATTACAAAATAGTGAAATAAACCAAACTTACTATAACATGTATACCTCTAAACTCAGTCTGAAGAGTCTGAACTGAGTTACGAGCGTTAGAAGTTTGATGATTTACATACTAGATTTGCTTTTTGCGCGCAAGTTTTCTAAGAAATTACAAAAAAATATTGCGCAATTTTTTTATTGCGCTGATTCTGCTCCACACTGATGTCTGGAGCCTTTAATGGATGGTATTGTTTGTTTACACATACAATGTCAATATTTTGTTGCAATTTCTTACAAAACTTGCGCGCAAAATACAAATCTAGTATTAAATCATCAAACTTCTAACGCTCGTAACTCAGTTCAGACTGAGTTTATAGGTATACATGTCATAGTAAGTTTGGTTTATTACACTATTTTGTGTCCAAAAAACATGGATTGGTCGATGGCCGCGCGAATAAAAAAAAGACGCCAATTTCCGGCATTGTCTTTTCATGGGTTATTCTGTTATCAACTTACTAAAACTGCACCGACCGCAGGCGGTTACGGCGGCGCGTACGGCGGGCGCTACTACGGCGGCTACGCCGGCTTCCCCGCCGGCTACGGGCCGCCGCACGCGTACTACGCCGCCGCGCCCGCGCCCGACCACTACCTGCCGCACCATCTGCCGCACCATCCGCACCACCCGCACCACGAGACCAAACGTGAGCATACCGTACCGTACCCAGAGCCTACACCGCACGCATGATCTTGATCCTGCCGCACCATCTGCCGCACCATCCGCACCACCCGCACCACGAGACCAAACGTGAGCATACCGTACCGTACCCAGAGCCTACACCGCACGCATGATCTTGATCCTGCCGCACCATCTGCCGCACCATCCGCACCACCCGCACCACGAGACCAAACGTGAGCATACCGTACCGTACCCAGAGCCTACACCGCACGCAAATAATCTTGATACTAAATCCTACTAATATTATAAATGCGCACTTAATCTTGATACTTAATACTGAATCACTAATGTCTAATTATTAATTTGATGACGATATAATTTACGCCTAAACGTGAGCATACCGTACAGTAAATAGAGAAACGCGATATTTTTTATATGAGTTACACATGTACTCACGGCTTGACGTTTCGGCTGCTATGCTGCAGCCGTGGTCACAAGCAGACTGGCGGCTCGCGGCGGCAAAAATGTCGCGTTGAGACCCGTGTTTCTCTATTTTAGTTGAAATGGAACACGAAAGTTTAAAATCTTAAATCTGGATACTGAATTAATATTGTCTAGCGTGTAATTAGTAAGATGATGAAATAATACTACTACCAAACGTGAGCAATGAGCATACCGTACAGTACCGTAACCACTGCTGACACTGCACGCAAATGATCTTTATAGGTGATTACTAATGTCTAGTGTTTTACTTGATCGGTTAAATGTTGAGGAAATATCACTGTCACAGAAAGTAGATAATTACATTTACTTATAGGAATTTACATTTAATAAGACAATCGATAGAGTAACCGATTTTCTATTTAAACTATTAAAACTACTTTGTGTATTTGTTTCCCGTTTGTCTAGAACATAGCAGGCTTGAATCAACCTGGTTGTCCTCCTCCATGTAAGAAATCTGATTCTTGTCATACCTGCCTTACGATTCGATCTAACCTAGGGTTATGACCTTGGTTGTTACAACAACCCACTATAGAAGAAATAGAACTTAGATTTTAAGGTAGAAAATACAGCAAAAGAAATAGAACTTAGATTCTAAGGTACAAAATACAGCAAAATTTAAATTGTATCCTTGTCAAATACTACAGAACAAGCTCTAACACGCCCATTTGTTTGTTGCAGAGGATGAGCCACCAGCCAAGAAGGAGGCCGAATGATTGTCACCCAAACGCGTCGTCAAGCGACGGCGCAAGTCCTCTTCGAAGGACGCCCAGTGAGCAGCCTTCTTACACTCGCCTATACCGCCTGTAGGGTGTACTGGCCGCGTTATAGTCAAAACTCTAAACTCTACCTAGTTACTACTAAAGCAGGGATGGCGAACCTTTATGTCTCAACGTGCCACTTTTCAGAAAAAAATGTTTGATGTAGTCATCATAGACGTGCCATCAAATAACACCTAATGCTATCAATGAGGAGTATAGTACAAGTGGCGCCACTGGCGAGTGACAAGGCCTTACCACAGCCTTACTTTACAGTGGCACTAACGGACGACTTATTTACTATTTTATTTTATAGTGAATTTTGTGATTGGTGGCGTGCCCTCAATATTGTGGCGCGTGCCATCGATGGCACGCGTGCCATTGGTTCGCCATCCCTGTACTAAAGGCTGATTTACACGTATTAAGTAGACAAGTAGGTAACTAAATTTTAACCTGATTTTTCTGTCAAGTTGGTGGGCGGGGCTTGTCACTTGACACGTTTTGACAAGCAGTTTCATAGTAAACATATAAACCCTGTAACTTTGTCAAAGCTGTTTACGTGACATTAGCCAAATCATGGTTCTCAAAACCAAGTCGTTGCCAAAATAAAAGAAGAAGACCTTTGGAATTACGAGCAATTTGATCACTTATAATTAAGTTAAGTATTACTTAGTACGTGTAAATCAGCCTTTATAGACCTCAGTTACACTACTCGCTAAGTTGACCGAAGTAAGATAGTGTAGACACGCCCTTCGAGCAACTTCGCCTCGCCCGCCTTCCGTTTATTGTCGGTTGAAGCGTTCCGAAATTGAATACGAAGCGACTATACTACCCGGACCCAGCTAACTACAGTACTTCGTCGGAGCTAGTAGGGTAGCTGTGGTACAGTCAGCCAAATAGTTCGTGACACCCAAAGTGGCCAAAAAGTTCGCAACACATCTTTGTTGGAAATGGAAGGCTGTGTTCTCAACTTTTTGTCCACTTTGGGTGTCACGTACTATTTGACGCTGACTGTATTAGGATTGGAGCTCGCAGATGACTAGTTTTGTCTAAGACCCGGTTCCGTGCTGATCTTCTAATCGAGTATGTACTTTTCTTACTAAATTCATCCTTCAAGATGAGGATGCTCAAGCCAAAAATATCAATTCAAAAACAGACCCTGACCTGAACCACACCTTAGTCTTGTGACTCTTTCCGCCTCCCGCTGAATTTAGTCAAGTCGATTATGAAATTGTTTAGTCGGGTCAATCCATGTTGTTCTATTTTGACTGGCGGGTAGCAAATCAAATCTAGTCTCTGCACAATTGCCTTTAGTATATTAGGTAACTATTAGAGATTTGGCTATGACATCCCTGGGCTTGGTGTTATTAGGATCTGTGAGTGGATTTCAAAGTATCATGGACACTTTAGCTATAATAATATAATAGTTTGTAAGATTTCAGATAATTTCCATACTGTGTATAGTCTGGTCTGCGAGCATGTAGAATTTTGTTCAATGACCCCAAGCTACCCATCCTTATCGCTCGCGCGTAGTTATGTTGTTGTCGCGCTCCTCAGATCATAGAAAGAGAATAGATATGAAGTCGCGCGTAACTACAACGAGAACCAGTGTCCCCACATTTCCCCCACCACAGCTCCCACACACACATTCAACTGTGTAAAAACAAAGCGACTGTGAGTCTACGACAACATGTGCAACCGGCTTAAAAGTGCTGTGATTGGCCAGAAGGCGTGCCTTCTGGCCAATCAATGGCCGCGTGACTTGACGCACACATAGAAAACGCTAGTGAGAGAACAAAGATAAAATGGAGTCGACAAGATATCGATACTTTAAATCGCTAGGGGCAAGGCTCGAAACTGGTTTCACAAAATGCTTATGTATGAAAACCTTTTTATTATTATACGTTATTATTAACTACTATCACGCATTTATTTTTTAATAACGGCGATCTGCATACCGCATATGTTTATCAAAAATAATGCCTATATTAGGCTTTCAACTAGCTCTTATAGTAATTACATAGTTGACAGTTACTAATTACTTATACTGTTATTATTTTTTTTGGAAAATCTTATAATCGCAAGTAACACATAATTTTTTTATTTAAAATTACAAAATAGAAAATTATAATTTACTTCTATTTATCGATAATCGGAAACCGCATTAGAACACGAGCACGGCACTATGTTACGACCGGCACATGCGGCCGTACTGTGTATTTTCACACGACAGTGGATATCGGAAGAAATTAAATACATTGCGCAGTAGTTGAGCATGACATAAAGTGGTTGCTAACTAAATCGTCAATGTACAAGCGTGTTAGAATTTTTATCACCACTGATTTCGATATCGCAGTAACTGTTACGGCACTGAATTCGTTCGTAAAAATGTTTAGTTTTTTTTATTTATAAGCAAAATACCAATGGATTTGCAATACTTACATATAGTAAATGACTCCATTGTTCCTGTAGTTCTTCGTTTCACTTGTTTTATTGCACGTAACGACGCATTATCCAAAATATCGGAGAACATTTCCTTAGTACGACTGAATCGCGACTAACCTAGCTACGCGGCCGATGTTCGTTTCTGGGCATATCGCGGAGACACGCGCCACGCCCCCGTTTCACATCTATTCCCTTCTATGATCTGAGTCGCGCTCGCACACTCACTGCAGGCGCCCGTCGCACAGTCGCGACAGCAATAAGGATGGGTAGTTTGGGGTAATTGGACATAATTCTACGTGCTCACAAACCGGGCTTTAGATTAAAATTTTTAATTATTTACAGGCATTGTCCTTTTAGAGCAATAACCATTCATGAATTGCAGTAATCTTTTTTATTACATTTTAAGAGCAAGTATGTAAATTTTGTATTCAGGATTTATGTGGATAAAAACAACTTTTAGATTGTAGAATGGAATATATTAATAAGGTATACATGTTATTTACAGATTGTAAGGTTAAATATAAATAAATAAGTTAAATATCTATGTATAATGGATAAAGTTGAATATTGATATTTTGTACCGATAGTAGCCTAATTGTTGTCTTCGGGTTGAACGCGGTTGCTGTTGCGGCCGAACTGGACGATGACGGGGCGACCGCTTAGGATCGTGCCGTTCACCTCGTCTAGAGCCTGGATGGCTACGTCCTCGCCTGATAAATGAAATAAATGGCATTTATAGAAATCACTTCGTTTCACTTTAGGCTAAGTTCAGATGATATGAAGAAAGTTAAGATTCTGACATCAAACACATCACTGCCTGTGTTTTGAACAAATTGATACATAAAGCTATAAAATAGTATAGTTCAATCAAAATCCATCCATTACTTTTTGCATAAAAAGACAACACAATAAAAATGGAATAAGGAGATATGCATGATGATCAACCATGAAGTACTATAATGGAGTGCAAAGCTAAAGCCTGGTCCGTGAGCACGCCAAGCTACCCATCCTTATCGCTCGCGCGTAATTATATTGCTGTCGCGACAAAATTCCACGTGCTCACGGACCAGGCTTTAGTAAGGTCATCAGTCTTATCAAATCAACGCCGAACAAGATGCGGCAACTACGTACTCCAGTCCAGCGTACTCTACTACATGGTGCTTGTTGCAGACTTAAGAGATTCGGTAATTCTTATATTTAAACTGGACACTCACTTTGAAAAGCCACAAATGCTTGCCCCCGCATGTGGCCAGCCATCAGCCTGACATCGATGGGGCCTCCATTGTCTAACACGAACTGGTTGAACAGCAATGACAGCTGCTCTTGGGACACACCTGGAGCAATGTTCTTCAGATACAAGACCTGTCAACAAAACAGTATGTGAAACAAAGGATTCTCTACATAAGGCATGCAGTCATTTAAACATAATGATGTTGCATTTGATTAGTTTTTATGCAAAGTTACAACATCAAATGGAAGTATTACCTTTGATGGTATCCCTGGTTCATAGTCTTTGAATCTGTCAATTTTCTTAATGTCATCAAGAGGCATTTTGGTTCCTTCCAGCAATTGCTCCTCAGCAGGATTCACAGGCAGTACGATGTCCACTGCTCGGTACTCATCGTTTATGTGGCGCTCTCTGTTGATAGGCTCTAATCTCATAATTTTGTTATCTCTTATCGTATACATGGTAGGGACCCTCGGGCCTATGAGACATTTCTGTTCTACCGGAGCTATCTGTTCCGCAACTTTTGGTCTAGCAGTAACTTCTTTCACATCCCATAAACTCCCAGGTTTATTCACTGCCGCAATCATAGCATTATCCTCAAAGTTAATTTGATGTTCCTGTGCCAGTATCCTTTCTTTTTTTCTCTCTAACCGTCTCATGATTTTTCTTCTTTGGGATAGTGAAAATGTGTCTTCTTTCAAGTGGCCAAATAAACTCTCTTCTAACTCTTTTAGCTCATTCATGGGGTGACCTTCCGGGTAAAAATTTAGCTGTTTCTGAGACGGATTATCCATTTTCTTTGGTTTAGTAGATGCAGGTTCTATCCTTGCTTTTGAACTGAAATTTGGACATTATCATTATTTTTACTATGCAAGTACTCTAAGCCTGGGATGCACCATCTTACAAAAAATCTGCCTAACTCCATACAAAAAGCACAGGTCATCGTTATACGTACAGTTAGTTATGTGGTGCAACTTAACCTAAGTAAGTTAAATATTTCTCCAAATTGAAAAATTTATTTTATCAATTTAAAACATAACAAATACCTACTTATTTACGTTTGCAAAAGATAGTAATTATTTTATACCAAAAACACTACAGCACAATCATTCATCAGATCACAACTTCACAAACAAATAATAAATACATTATACTTTACCATCCAGGAGTAGATTGATGATTATTTATTTTGTTGTATAATGTTTCGAGCTTGCCCTTTAGAACACTGGCCTCAATCTTCTTACGCTGTTCCAGAAGCCCTGCTTCATTTTCCTGGTACAGCTTCAACTCTTCATTTGATAGTCCAGCCTTCTTCAACCATTCCAAGTGTTGCTTATCTGCTTCCGCCCTACGGAAGTCTTCCACCGTTGCAAGTCCATATGTGGACAGCGGTAGCACTTCAACTGTCTTTTCAAATTCTTTTGGCACCGATTCGGAGCTGGAAAAGCCAAAACAAGATAAAAAGTAGATCCTGAAATTACATTAGTTTCTTCTTTCGCTTCAGTTAAAGAGATAGGTTGACGAATGATATAATGTAGGTAATTAATGGATTACTCACCACATCTTTAACAATGAAATCAGTGGATGAAAGCCTTATTTCATTATTCTTCAAAGGAAATGGGAAAAATATTTTTCAATACAAACCACAAACAAAATAGAAAATATGTCAACTATTATTTTTATATTCTATCATTTTTTTTGCAAGTTTTACGGCTTTGGTTCTCATCGTTTAAGCCAAAATCTTTATAGGTCGAGTTGATCATACTCTCTAATCTGTGGAGTTGATCCCAATTTTAACTTAAGCAGAAAGTCAGACAACTCTTGATACATAGTCAGCTCTGAAAGGGATCGTAACCATGATCGTAACCGTATCGCCTCTCGCCTCACCTTCAACTAGGCGTCAACTTAAACAAAGCACATAACGTAAAAAACGGATCAGCCATGAAACTAAAGATAAAATTAGCTTCATGGGATCAGCAGATCTTTAGTTTCATGCATAGAGAAAAGAAATACATGTTTCATGGTTACGATATGCCTTTCTGAGTTGATAAGTGTGCTTCGTCCTTAATTTTTATTAGAAATAAAACATGATTTTGGCAAATGTGCAAGTCGCTAAGCCGTGAGAGTTCAATCAACAAAATTTCCAAAATTAAAAAAGTAGAAGAAAAACTGTGATTTGGTGTGGGTGGACTTGTATTTTTATTTTAAATAATTTCTCGTCTGTAATTAACAAATTAATAATTACCGCCATGAATTCGTGGGGTAATGATTACGGGATGCAAAATCAGTTCATACCTATGAACAATATGGGGCCACCGAACATGATGCCTCCACCGATGCAGCCTTTGATGCCGCCCATGTGTATGATGTCGGACTTGGGAAATTTGGGAATCAACACGCAAATAAATCCCGCCCCGCCTGTGGTTCCTCCTTTGATCGGGCCCGTGATGCCAG